TACAAAACACATACAGAGCATAGTAGTAGTTTAGGACATAATTGTCCCAATAATATTAAAATTTGTTGACAGGATTCAAAGGGATTTGAACTATTCCTCCAAGCCACCTGGAAATGCATTAAAGAGCAATGCAAATTGAAGGAATACAATAAAGAATTCTATACGGAAAAATATGAACAAAGTAGAAAGGTTTTGTTAGACCCAAATATTTAAACAATCATACAACCATAGCAGTTATAAAGAAGAAGCAGAAAGATAACGACAAGATTAAAACTGAATCTGGTATACCGTATGAACTGGCCGCTGCTCTCCCTGGAGAAGGAGAGCAGCGACAACCCTAATCTCTCTATCTCTACGCCTCTATGCTCTGAGCCTCTATCGATCGTTAGGGTTCCCGTAAGTTAGCCTCCTTTTATAGGAGAAGTTGGCTAACTTACGGGTTACAAGGAAGCCTCCGGGCTGATACACATTTGTGGCCCGTATTACACGTTTAATTAATAACTACACAAATACAAAGATATTTAATTAGATTGGACACCATAAAATATTCCTAACAATCTCCCCCTTGATGTTCAATCGTGTTGAATCAGCATTGCAACGCAGATATCTTTGTCTTTGTTGTTATTGAGCTTCCTTTGTCTTTGAACTTGACTTCTGAGGAAGGCTATCTGAAGAAATCCTTGCAATCTCCCCTTTGATGTCTTCTTGACAATTTGATCTTTGATGTCGTGGGTTGAGGGACCTTCAGTATCTTGCATGTAGTCCTTACCTTCCAGAAGTTGCTCTTGATCAGCTTGGATGAAGTCCGGTGACGCCTCTAGAATGAATGTTCTTTGGAGAATAGGAGACGCCCATGGAATTCATCTTCAACAGATTGAGTATTTGACCTCTGTCTCCTCCACAATGTAGTCCTTTTGACTATTTGGAATGAATGCTTTTGAGGAGAACTTGTCGGTGGCACAGCGGAACATAATGATGGTTGACTTGTGAGCGTAGCTGACCATTTGAGTTGCGGAGATAGTAGAAAGAGTGTTGGAGGAGAGAAGTGTCTCAGAATGATTTTTTTTGACAGTTAACAGCATGTGGACCACTCTCCCCCTCATGACGATCCGATAACTCGGGGCGTCATGCCTTTATTCTTTTATTCTGCGGTAATAAAAACAGGAAAAACAAGCAGAATGTAAAGAAGATAACGTAGCCCCCCGGGGTCGTGAAGACGCCCGTTATCATCACTATAGAGATAAACTCTTTAGCAATAGCCTGAAAATGTTGGTGATTCTTATGTTGCAACAGCAGGACTTCCTTCCAATTATTGGTCTACATCTGTAATAGATGAGCCCTATGGAAGTTCTCGCGGGTCATGTAGACCTGCAACTGACTCTAAAAGTGCGTCTGTGTCCTAGAAAATTTCAAAATATTTGGGAGTGAGTAATTAGACACGACGTGATCAATGAAAGTTCAGTGACATGGGGCTGAGGCCACTGTAGTCAGTATTACTTGCCTCGGAAGGAGACAGTAATGAGAGATGCGGTTCCCCGTGAAGTATGATTAAACACCTGTCTGTTGGGAGACAAATGAGTGGTCTTGGGTAGGGTTCAACGTGCACTGTTGGACAAGATGCAGTGACTTCTACCCGGGATCTGATTAAACCAGTCCTGGACCTATTTGGGAATTGTCCAGAGTATTTGAGTGGCTAGGAGTAAATGTTCAATGGATAATAGGCAGTTGAGGTAGCAGACTCATCATTGATTATTGTTTTTCTTCTCACTTGAGCCTTCTGCTTCCTAACTCTCATAATGATTACTCTCACTCACTAACTCACTCACTTACTCTTGACTTTCCAAATTGGGTAGGCTTTAGTTGGGTTTACTAAGCCATAGGAACATGTTCTCTCATTGATTTTCTCTCTGTACTCCCCCTCAACTGGAGCACTCAGTATGCTTTGTCATTGTTAGGCACCGGGGAGGATAACATTGAACACTCCCCCTAGAATGTTGCATCCGTTAAGAGATTCCTTGCTTTGTCAGTGTAAGTCGCCAGGAGGAGAAAACTGAAACTCCCCCTCAGAATGTGCAAGGTTTGATTGCTCACAACTCGTCATACCCGCCATGTGTGTGGAGCAATCTGAACAAGTACCACACATGACGGTTTTCCTGAGCTCATAATGTAGAATTTCAGCATATTGATGATCACATAATGTTGATGAGTCAGAGGAGGCTTCAGTGGTTGATTGTTGATTGTTGTAAGATGACCGTTGACGCGAGGTTGATTGAATTATCTACGACTTTCGGACCTTTACAGTTAGGTTTAGAAAATGTTTGACCTCAGGGTTGACTTTGAAAGAATTTGAACAGATTTGCCTAAGTTTTGACCTGGACATCGGTGATTTACAATGTTTGTCGGGAAACTAACGTTTTGACCCTCAAAGACTGCGAGTGAGGGCGCGTGAGAAAGGGTTCTGGGGCCTTTCCCCAGAATTAATGAAGATCTTTTCGTTATCTTTCCAACAAAAAAAAGTTTGCTCAAATCGGATCACCGAGTCAAAAGTTATGGCCAACACAGTGCGCTGTCGCAGAAAATCTCTAATTTTGAGTTTTTGAGGAATTTCTTCGAAGTTGAGGTTCTCGATGATGAATATCAAGAGCAAGTGAATTTAAACAAAATTCTATGGCAAAAACTCGAAATTCAAATCTCGAGATTTTAATTTTGAGTTTGCCTTGAAGAGTAATGACGAAATCCACCTGCAAAACAGACCTCAGAATAACGAAATCTTGAGAATTTCAAAATGTTTGGAACATCGAAAACTTTGGAGTTTCGAAAAACCTCATAATATCGAAAACTTGTTGTTTGAAAAACATCAGACAATAGAAAACTTCTAAAACTTTGATAAACAGGGAATCATTCAGAAATCTAAAATGTAAAGCTTCGATGAACTGCAAAGGATGTCAAGATTCGAATTATGAGTTCCAAGAAACCGCAAACTTTGAAAGATTCAAAACAACGAGAAATTCCGAAAATTCTGAAATTTTTCAGAATGTCGAAATCCAAAACATCGAGTTCCTAAAACTCGAAATAAATTCCAAAACTCGCAATTCCAAAACTCTCAAATTTTAAAAACTCGAGGTTTAAAACTCAAGGTCAGAACTCGAGGTTTAAAACTCGAGGTCAGAACTCGAGGTTTAAAACTCGAAGTCAGAACTCGAGGTTTATACTCGAAGTCAGAACTCGAGGTTTAAACTCGAGGTCAGAACTCGAGGTTTAAAACTCGAGTTGAAAAACTCGAGGTTTAAAACTCGAGGTTTACAACTCGAGTTCATGACTGCAAGTTTAAAACTCTCGATTTTAAAAACTGTCAAATTTTGAGAATCTGAAAACTGTTCTGAATAGTCCTGAAGGTCGCGATCCCTCCTGTATCTGATTCAAGTCAAAATCGTTTCTGCAGCAGTGTATAATCATAAACTCGAAATACCATGAGAGTTCTACAAAAAATTAAAGTTTGCAGAAAACGAAAAAGGGAATATGCTGTTGGATCGGTTTTGAAAGGCGATTCCAACAGTATAATTTTAACAGATTTTCGTTCACAAACAAGATTACAGGAGCAAAACTCTATATGAAGAAAAAGAGAAGAAAAGCAGAGCATTCTTCGTTAGATCAAGAAAATCGTAGATACATTCAACCTGTTTCACGCCTCGGCTCTGATACCAAATGTTAGACCCAGATATTTAAACAATCATACAACCATAGCAGTTATAAAGAAGAGGCAGAAAGATATCGACAAGATTAAAACCGAATCTGGTATACCGTATGAACTGGCCGCTGCTCTCCCTGGAGAAGGAGAGCAGCGGCAACCCTAATATCTCTATCTCTACGCCTCTATGCTCTGAGCCTCTATCGATCGTTAGGGTTCCCGTAAGTTAGCCTCCTTTTATATGAGAAGTTGGCTAACTTACGGGTTACAAGGAAGCCCCCGGGCTGATACACATTTGTGGCTCGTATTACACGTTTAATTAATAACTACACAAATACAAAGATATTTAATTAGATTGGACACCATAAAATATTCCTAACAGGTTTTGATGCTTCTCAAAAGGGGTGGCAGCCCTGCATTTGATGATGTGATTGAGAAGTGTTTTGTGATTCGATGGGTTATGGTAGGTTTTTTTTAAAATAGAACATCTCAATTCATTAATAAAAACCAAGGATAAGTGGAGGGGAATTGTGGTAAACCCTGATCAGGACCAACCACTCAACAGAGAGCATACCCTCTAAGGGCACTCAAGGGAAGGGGAACCTAGAAAGAAAACTACTACTCTTAGGGCTTGACCAAAATCACAACTAAGCTCCAAGGCAAAGGTTAAAAATTAAGAGCAAAAAGAACAAAGACTCCATTTGTTCGCATAATACATTGCATGCCTCCTCTTTAGAATTTCTTCTTTTCCAAATTTTGATTTGGGTCATCCGTAAACACTCTCTTTGATTTAGTACAGCGGTAAGACTATGTACATCCGACCCCCGTTACCTTACCTTAGGAGCCTTTGCGACATTGGAGTAATGATAATGATGAGTAATTTGAATATTTCTATTGCTTATTTGAGAGAGATATTTTTACTTTGGTTTTGAATTAATAAACCTTGTTTTGAATTAGTAATCATTGGTTCCAAAACGAGGTAATATATAATTTGATATGCAAAAACTAATATATTACAAATTCAAAATTTTTGAATATATTATTTTATATATTTAACTAATACATGGTGTAACTAGTCACCATAAGGCGGTCAGCTGGCGCCACGCCTCACTTTACCGTCATGACAACCATGGTCAATACCTCATGATAGCATCACGGGCCTTTGATGGATACAAGAAAACTACAAAGGACCCGCAAACCTATGATTGGAAAAGACCGGCCAAGACTTGATAGCATTGACCATGGAGAAATATATAGTTCTCCATGACATCATCAACTAGACTAGTTATCCACCAAAGATGTACATAACAAACAAAAGTTAGATATTTCTATTGTCTCCTAATATTGTATAGGATTTTGTTAGTCCAGCTTTCATCTTGCTATTTAAATGCTTAATATAAGAAGTTCTCTAATCTACAATTGATGCCAAATCTGGGTCAATTCAACGGGAAAACTGTTGAATTCTCTCATAATATGGTGAAAATGTACCAGAAAAGAGGCGGTACCTTTTATTGTTTTGACCGTCAATGAAGCTACCATTTACCATTTTCTGTTTCAATATAGTTTCCTACATTCAAAGAATCAATTTCTATAATGAATTTCCTTCTATATTTCGGTTTAGAATCATTAAGGCTCCTCTAAAGTTTAAAATAGCACAGAACCCAGTCACCATAACGCTGTGATTCTTGATTCATGTTCAGAAGGTTGCCCATCTTGAATTTAGCCATACCTCCTATTGTTTTTCAGAATAATTCTAATACATGGAGTTTTGGTCGTTTGTATCATAGGTGCATTAAAGGGACCTAATTAAGTTATCCACAAGTTGTCCTAATTATTTCCCATTACTTCTTTAAGTTGTTTCCATTTTTTTAGCTTTAATTATTTTAGGCAATTGTTCATTAATGAGTCTGTAATTTGTATCCAACACATCCATTCTCAATTTGATAACCACAATTTGTTTTAGCAGGCCATAGTTTTAAGATTTTTTTTTTCTGATTATGATTTTTTGCCAGAAACAATACGAGCAGCATTGTTCTTCCGAGACATGCAACATCCCTCGTTGCTTCCACCTGCATCAAAAGAATGGACAATATCCAAGATTCTTGAAAGGTTTGACTTTTTTGATAACATGATCCCATTTATCTAATATGACATGTGCATCATTTATGCCACCGTATCTGAATGTTATCAGGAGTTCAAAGCATATGTGGCTATTGAAAAATTCATTCATCAATTTTCTAGACGAATGCAAGTAAAGCTTATAGATATCTTCCTGAAATGAGAGAGTGATATCTGGGTAGTCAAAGGTGAACATCTAACCAGAAAACCACTGGCTTTTGAGGGATTTGAAGGGCCAAAAAGATCTATCTCCTGTATAACGGAAGCAATATCTTTTCTACCAATGGTGATTCTGTGACCGCATAGCTCTTTTTCTCTCTTTGCCTTTTGTTACATCAATTTTTTTCACATGTTGGTATTTGACTATAAGCATTTATTGAAACAGAATAAAGTGTATGATGACTTCCGTATTTTTTCAAGTGCGCTTAAACTCTACACTTTGTGTGCGGTATGTGTTTTAGAAGTGGATCCGAAATCTAAGTTAGCTCTTAAAAACTTCTGATAGTTAACTCTTAAAAACTTCATATAATCTTGTTACTAATTCTTTACTATTTTTTGGTATCACACCAAGCCATCGAAGATATGGCGTTTGTTAGTAGACTATGTGCTCAGATATTATTGAAACACAAGTTCTCAATAAACGTTCATGATAAAATTGTTGCGAACTCGTTGAAAGTTTTGTTTTTTGAACTTAAAGGTATTCTTGTTGATTTTATTATTATATATATTGAGCTTTCAACATAGTCTGAAATATTAATATAATCTATTTTCTTTTTAAATTTTCGGGGTGTCTGATAATAAAGTTGCACCCACGGTTCTGCAGGTTCTACCAGGAGGCTACAATTGATGGTGTGGAGTGGAGGATACATTCAGAAAGCTACAAGTATAGCCCCGGAAACAGGCGCTACAACAATGAAATCATTTCAGGTATTTTTATTGTTTATATTTGGCTCTCTATGGGAGCACAATTGAATTTTTTTGAGGAGCATTATTTTAGTGATTTCAATTAGATTTGCCTTTACGTTTTTTCTATATCTAGATCATTTTTCTTTCTGATAGAAATGATGAATTTTCAATTTTATTTTTTGGTAAACTTCAAGTTTACGCGTGCAGCATACTTTGTAAATGTGAACATGAACAATCTCAGAAATTTTATTATAAGAAAACCAAAAAATTAACAAACGTGCTTGGAATTGAATAAAATTCAGCTATTGAGAAGAAAGGTGCAAGGTAGGACAGTGGATAGCGGTGCTGGTGGCGTAAGGAGAGAATTTTAACTCAGGGTGAGTGTCGAATAAGGGTGGTTTAATTGGGCCGAGAACATTATCTTTGATCCAATAACTCAGTATCAACATTCTTGATTTTTTTTTTCAATTATGCCCAAAATCACACTTAAAATAGTATGTTATGAAGTAAAACTAAATAGGCCCTATTTTTCTTTAAAATATATTAAAGTTAACTTCAAACGTTGAAACGAAAACATAGACTCTTGATTATTCCAAGAATGTGAGTTACTGATATGTATGATTATTTCACACACACAAAAACAATTTTTAAAAATAATAATTTTGAGATAGGGTTGTATTTATTGTAACACCATAGTACTAACTGGTTTTAATGGACTACATGTTGATACTTTTTTGCTCTTTACTAATCTCCTTTTTATTTATTAGTTAAAAATCCTAAATAAGAAATCATAACTATAAATCGATTGAGATTTTCATGTTATTAAGAAAACTCAAAATATATGAACAAAGATTGTCATGTTGGAGCAACATTTGAAGCCCCTTTTGTACTCCCCTTACTCATATTTATGATGGTATATTATTGCTTATATATATTTTGTTAAAAACACTATATACTGCGGTTGATAATACAATATTTGTTTTCCTACATTGACACAGGATTGTCATTTATAATATCTCTAAATAATTATTTTTGCAACATCTTCAACGCAAATCACAAGTGTTGCAAGCGAGATGGATACGCATGTCATAGAAGTTCTTATTAGCGCTACTACATCACAGAATAACGATGACCAAATTATTAATATACATATAGGCATGTCAATTAGTATCACAATAAATATGCATAGAAAAAAAAAATTCAAAATAGCATATTTCAATTATTAACGATGACCAAATTATTAATATACATATAGGCATGTCAATTAGTAATTTTTTGTGTTGCATTATTCTTTAGTTTTATTGTGTTAGATATTTAATATATCAATTTAATATGTCCATATTAAAATTTTCTCTAAAAAAATCTACTATTATTCATTAGTTAGCTTTTAAATTTACAAAATATTAATGCATCGCACGGGTAATATACTAGTCAGCTAGTAATATGGAGAAAGCCACGAACTAGTAAAACTAGTACAGAGTACGCTGCATGATAATAGTCATAATACTCCCTCCGTCCCGCTAGAAGGTTCCCGTTACGGTTTACGATGCTTAACTGACGATAAAGTAACTTAGTCTCTGATCACACTCTGATTATTTTTAGTAAATAAAATTTACATATTCAGAAACTACATCAAAACTGCTACAAAGCCTGATAAAGAAATGTAAATTTGATACAAATTTGATATATAAAGCAAAAGATTAAAAATGATTTAAGTTGACCATATGAACAGTGGACGGAAACCTTCTAATGAGACGGAGATAGTATTTAATAATAAATACAATAGTCGCATGTCACTAGTCCATGTACATTTATATATATTTAATTAATAATAGTAATAATCGCAAAATAATAATAATAATAATAATAATAATAATAATAATATGTCACTGATTCTGCTGAAGTTTATGAAGTTCCAGCTGAAGAAGCTGCATTGGCTGATTCTACTTATTTAAAAAAAGATTAGTTTTAAATTATATTTTATTAACAAAATAAAGAAAAAATTATATGTAAAATAGCTAAAATGATCATATACAGTAATTTCAGCCAATACAACCAGAAAAGTAACTTCAATCTTACTTTTTCTTATTATTACAGAATTCAGCGCACAAAAACAAAAGTTACGTGTATGGTGAAAATGTTGATTGATAAGTCTGATAAGTCGAAAATGGTGTTACCAAACGGCCTCTAAATCAAACACACAATTTGTCTAGTCAACATTATGTACTTTCTTTCTTTTTTTATTGTGTTAGTGTTATGGGCTCATGGGCTTATTTATTTTATATGTATTTATTTTATGTATAGTTTAGTTCCAGCCTTAATTGTAAATTAAGTGGGCCAAGGGCTTCTTGTACATACTTATATATTCTATTTCTAGTAATGAGAATACAACCTTTTGATCCCTAAAATTTGCCTTTGATAGCCGATCCAACATGGTATCAGAGCCGCAGAGGTCTTGAATGCCTACGCAGCTACGGAACATCCAGGGCAGCGGAGGAGCGACACCAGCATGGTCTGCTTCGACTTCTGACATGGGGGATGTGTCGTCGCCCTACTATTTAGGGTCCGGTGATCAACCCGGGAATATTATCACATATGTAATTTTCAAAGGAGACAACTACGTGGCTTGGTCTCGGGCCATCACTCTTTCCTTGAAGGCACGTCGCAAATATATTTTTGTGGACGGAACCAAGAGGAAACCGACTGACAGGGCAAAGACAATTGACTGGGACACCATCAATTCGATGGTGGTGTCTTGGTTAATGCAGAGCATGGATCCCAACGTGGCGGCGTCAATACCCTTCCACGATGAGGAGTGCGCGTTGTGGGTTTATTTGGAGAAGCGTTTTAGCGTTTCGAATGTCCGAGGTTGCAGCTTCGCGCATCTATAACAGGGTGCAAACAGTCCAAGACTATTTATGTGGATGCGTGTTACACTGCCTTGATGAGTCTATATGATGAATACAATAGGCTGAAACTACCGTGACCGGGAAGTTACAATGATGCGTGTTACAATGCTTGCATGTGCGGCCTGTGTACGTGTAACGTGGCCGGGAAGTTTGCAGCCTACCGTGAGGAGGAACGGTTCCACCAATTCCTTATTGGAAATGACGACGGAGTTTTTGGAATAGTGCGGAGCAATTTGTTGTCACAAACTCTTATGCCCAAGGAGGAGAATTCAAGCGTGCTCATCAAGCGTTTCTCCAGGAGGAGAATTCTCGGGCAGTAGTTCGCGGAAAACAGTCGGCCGTCGTTGATATCCAGGCCTTTGCTCTCATGAAGGGACGCTAGGAACGTGTGGACAAATATAAACTAGTATACACCCATTGCAAACAAAAGGGCCACGAAATTGGGGTTTGTTTCAAATTGCATGGATACTCGGAATGGTGGGACGAGAGAAATCGGAGCAAAGGCAACACAGCTGGCCGTGGAGGGGGGCACGTGCGCACGCTGTGTCTTCATTGCCTGGCAGCAGCAGCACTTCGATTGGGAGCAGTGGCAGCGGTACATTGTCCCACGGTGAGGCAACTGCTTTGAACGAATTGAGCAGGGAACATGTTCAGGCTCTTTTGAATTTGATTAGCGTTGATTCTAGCTCCTGTGATCGCATGTCAGGTACGTATACTTCTCTGCCATGGATTATTGATACCGGGGCGTCACACCACGTCACGGGAAAATTGTCTTGTGTGACTCGATGTGTTCGAATTAATACATGCCCGGTTGGTCTGCCTGATGGAAGGATAGTTTCGGCCGAGGTGGAGGGGCGTGTATTTCTTAATAAAAATTTAGTACTTGATCGTGTACTTTACGTGCCTGGATTGAGTTTCCATCTTATATCTGTCTCGCAGCTGATTGACAAGATTGATTGTATTGTTACTTTCACTAATTTATTTTGTGTTATACAGGACCTACGCTTGAGGAACCTGATTGGAGCAGGTGAACGGGGAGATGGACTGTATTATTTTCAGGGGATTCCTGAACTTCATGCTGTTTGCACATCCGATCTATTAGATTTTGAGTTATGGCATCGCCGTATGGGCCGGTCATCCGTCAGATCCTGTTGTGAAATTGTTGCCTCAAATAACTAGTAGTACTTGTGTGAAGAAATTAAATAAAGCTTGCGATGTGTGTCCGCAGGCCAAACAAGTTCGTGATTCCTTTCCTATCAGTAATTTTAGAGCTAGTCGTATTCTGGAACTAGTACATTGTGATTTGTGGGGACCTTATAAAACCCCTTCTACTTGTGATGTTGTTTATTTTCTGACTCTGGTTGATGATTTTTCTCGTGATGTGTTGGTGTATTTATTACGTGATAAAAAGAAAGTGTCTGTTTCTTTATTTTCTTTATCGTTATGGTGGAAAAACAATTTGAGGTGACTGTGAAAAATATTCGTAGCGATAATGGGACCGAGTTCAAGTGTATGGCACCTTATTTTGAAACTCATGGAATTAATTTTCAAACATCGTGTGTAGACACTCCCCAACCGAATGGGGTGAGTGGAGCGGAAACACCGTCACATTTTAAATGTGGCTCGGGCACTGATGTTTCAAGCTAGTATACACATTCATCTGTGGGGAGAGTGCGTGCTCACGCTCGTGTTTGTCATCAACCGCACTCCCTTCGGCTTGCTAGGAGGTAAGACCCCGTATCAAGTGCTCACTGGTAAGATTCCGGATTTCTCTCACTTACGCATCTTTGGCTGTTTGAGTTTTGCATATAACTTGAAATCTAGAGGTGATAAATTTGCTCCACGTAGTAGACGTTGTGTGTTTATTGGCTATCCTTCGGGCAAAAAGGGTTGGAAATTGTATGACTCCACCACCGGTGATATCTTCATATCTCGGGATGTCAAATTTCATGAGGACGTTTTCCCATAGGACTACTCTATATGTTGTGTGTTTATGTTGGGATTGGAAAATTCTTCTATTCAATATCAAGAACAGAATTACAATAGGAGGAGCAAACTCTCACACTCAACTATTACAAAAAACCAATCCTCACCAATACACTTCTACACTAAGTGTATTTCACTCTTCACACACTTTTCTCACTTTCTAAACTGATACTATGAACAACAATGGAGCACTCTATTTATAGGGCTGGTTTGGAGACATGAGGAAGTTGCATCCAAGCTTCCTAGTTATCTCCATATCTTCTCCCACACCTATTTGTTGGAGAGCTCTTTCCAAGAAGGTGCCTCCATGTTAAGGTGTCTCTTGGCAACTTCCAAGAAAGAAGGTGGAAGATACCTACAAATCTCCCCCTCCACCTTTTTCTTTATTTCTCTCGTTCATGCGGTGCTCGCTGGCTCCCCCTCGCTGGCAACAAGTATCCATTCGGATGTGGAGTATTTTCTTTGTGGAACTATGCCTCGCATAGAACGTCGAACATGAATACCTTCATATTCGTCTTCAGATGAAGGCTCCCCCTGCTGAGGAATATCATCACTGTGAGTATCATCATCACCTGCTGAACCATCACTCTCGTGTTCAGTAGAATCATGCATCTCCTCGTCGCTGAGAGGAATGTTTGATGATACAGGCACTTCGTCTTCTGGAGTATGTTGTTGGCGGATTATTGGAGCACACCCATGAAACTCGTTTTCATGAAATACAACATCTCTGCTTCGAATAACTTTCTTCACTTCGGGATCCCACAACCGGTATCTGAATTCTCCATCTCCATAGCCGATGAAGATACATGGGTTTGACTTGAGATCAAGCTTCTGTCTCAACTCCTTGGACACATGTGCAAATGCCTTGCACCCGAACACTTTCAAGTGAGAGTAAGAAACATCTCTTCCTGACCATTTCTTCTCTGGCACTTCAAAGTTTAAAGGAACAAAAGGTGACCTGTTTATAAGATAACAAGCTGTCAGCACAGCTTCACCCCAAAATGGCTTAGGTAGCTTAGCCAGACTCAACATGCAACGAACTGTCTCCATAATGGTCCGATTCATTCTTTCAACTACACCATTGTGTTGCGGAGTTCGTGGTACCGTCTTCGCATGTCTGATTCCATATGCGGCACAATATGTTGAGAATTCTCGGGAAGTGTACTCTCCTCCATTGTCTGAACGCAGACACTTCAGCTTCTTCCCTGTTTCTCTTTCTACCATGGCATGAAATGATTTGAATCGATCAAACACTCGATCCTTACGATTTAAACAGTAGGCCCATACCTTTCGTGATGCATCATCAATGAATGTCACGAAGTATCTGCTTCCTCCAAGTGACTCCTCTTCAATGGGTCCACATACATCAGAGTGGACAAGACTGAGTAACTCTGTATGGTTCTTCTTGGTAGAACTGAAGGAAACCTTGTGTTGTTTCCCAAATAGACAGTGCTCGCATGAATCTAGGGCAACACCTTTGCCCATGGAAATGACTTCCTTCTTTGCAAGAGTTGTCAATCCCTTCACGCTCAAGTGACCTAACCTCCGGTGCCACAAGTTTGGTGATATCTCTTCTTCAACAGCATTGAGACTCGGATGACACAACTTTGCATGAGTTTTATAAAGAGTGCCACAAATATGGCCTCTTGCAACAACCAAGGAACCTTTAGATAGCTTCCACGTACCTTCTTTGAATCGGTTAAGATATCCTTGTTGATCCAGAGCTGTACCGGAGATAAGATTCAATCTAAGATCCGGAACGTGTCGAACATCTTTCAACACAAGTGCGCATCCGACATTGGTTATTATGTGCACATCACCAATGCCAACAATCTTCGAAAAACTGGTGTTTCCCATCTTCACAGCTCCAAAGTCTCCGGACTTATAAGTTGTGAATAAGTTCTGGTGTGGAGTGGCGTGAAATGATGCGGCTGTATCAATCACCCACTCAACATCATGAGTGCCTACGTGTAAACATTCTTGTTCACCATGTGTAACAAGACACACGTCTGATGACAAACTAACCATGGTCTCACCATCTTCTTGGCTAGTATTTTGACTCGTCTGTGGCTTCTCTCGTAGAAACTTTCTACAATCTCTTTTCCTATGTCCATAGTTACTACAGTAATTGCAATATCCTTCGAACCAAGTATTGTTTTCAAAGGACATACCTCTCTCTTGTGATCTTCCGCGAACTTGAGAATTTCCTCTACTTTGACCTTGACCTCTACCTCGACCTTGACTTCTTCCTCCATTTCTGCCTCCCCCTCGTCTGTTAGTTTCTGATATGAGGACATATGATTGTTCCGTTCCGGCTTCCTTCCTTCGGGCTTCTTCATTCATCAGGGCATCTGTGGCCATCTGCATAGTCACCTTCCCATTTGGAGCAGAATTACTGAGAGTGACAACAAGAGTCTCCCAGCTGTCAGGTAGAGAGCTCAAGAGTAGTATCGCCTGCTCTTCATCTTTGAGAACCCATCCGGTGGTGCTCAACTGATTCACAAGATCCTGGAATTGACTGGTGTGTTCTGACACCGAAATACCCCCACGTAATTTGTGGTTTACTAATCTCCTCATTAGTAACGTCTTATTTCGGGCGGTTTTTGCTTGATACATGCTACCAAGCTTCTCCCATAGTGTGTAAGCACTTTGTTCTTGAGCAACATGGTGGAACACACTATGATCTATCCATTGTCGAATTTGTGCGACAGTTTTTCGATTCATTTTTGTCCATTCTTCATCCGTCTTTTTATCCGGTTTCACACCATTATTATCAAGAGGATCCGCTAAATCCCTCAAATTTAGCAAATCCTCCATCCGAGGCTTCCACATATTGTAGTTTGTGGATGTGAGCGCAATCATGGTGTCCGACGATGATTTATCCATAATAAAACGCTCTATATATCTCGTACCTTATTTTCGAAGCCGAATTTGGACAAACGGAGCTCACCGTCGTATCCACATGGAAAGGAATAATTCTCTTTTTATGATACTTAGTAAATAAAAGGGGGAATTTAGATTGAGTGATTTAATTTAATTAAGAACTAAGATGAACAACCTATATGTGTTTAATTCAAAGATAAAAAGGACTTGGCATTGCTACTTTCTGCTTGTTGATATATTTTAGTCGATCATTGTTATATCTATAACTTATTCCCTCTCGAATACTCAATCGGGAAGTATATCCACTTCATCGAGGGTAGTTATTAACAACGACCGTTCATTAATAACCCTTACTATTAATCAAATATAGAACAACGCCGTATACCGATATAATAGTAGCATTCAATCTTTTTAACTCCTTGATGAAATCAATTGAGATTGATAACCTTAACACAATGGTTTCGATTTAACCAACAAAATTGATCCCTCTTAAGTTTATTAACCACGACCGTGCATTTATAAACCGAAGTTACTTACTTATGAAACCACCAACGATTAACCATCGGTTCGTTGATCGTTTCTAGTAGTAATTAATGTCGGAACGTTAACTAATCGTCACTTAGCAACCCTCCAACATTAATATAGAATGAGACTAAGGGAAGAATTAATAATCAAGAGAAGAAGTTAAGAAAATAACTCACAACTTTAATAATCAACAAGCTTCAAGAGCAAAACCAAGAATGGAAGTTTAGCTCCTCATTTGGAGGCTAAAAATAGCTAGAAAAATATAAAGAAATGCTATTCTAAACTGAGCTAAAGAGAATGGAAGAAGGGATGATTTTTAGAGAAGAAAAAGAGTGCTATTTATAGGTGTTTTTCAACACCTTTGGCCGGGTACCCGACTGGGTATAGTACTTACCCGACCGGGTGCATGTCAAAATCAAATATGCTCCACGTTCTGGCGATCTTCGGCATGTTAAAGTGTCCGGGTCAAGTCAGACCCGACCGGGTGGGGTAGGGGACCCGACCGGGTGAGTGCAAAAATTGGATATTCTTCACGTTCGGGTGATCTTTGCACGCCGGGTTGTCCCCGGTCACTTCTCACCCGACCGGGTGAGGTAGTGGGCCCGACCGGGCCATGCACTTTCTTTGCATTTTCGTTTTTCACTTCTTACCCGACCGGGTCAAGTGTTATACCCGGTCGGGTATTTGCTCCTGGGCAGCCAAATCTTCTTTTTCTTCACTTCAAAGTCTTCCTTTCCAACACCACAAATCCTAACTAAACTTTACAACTTACAAATAAAGACTAAAATACAACTACAACTAAAATCACACAAATGTTTACAAACTAAGTAAAATGATAAACAATACACACAAATCCAACATAAAAACATACACTTATGTCCTACTAATTAGTGCATATCAAACACCCCCACACTTGAACCTTTACTCGTCTCGAGTAAATCAAAAATATCCCCAAGAATATAAGAGTAAAGAGATGTCTTCAATTCCATTTTTCTTATCAATCTCAATTTTTTTT